GTCTGATCGTCACACGAATTACTCCCATGGGGCAAAACAACGCAGTTTGGTGTTGTTTGTGGAGCAAACTCAAATGAAAATGAAAATTCCGCTAAATCTGGAATAAGCCAGGATGTAACTCCCCCAGTTTGAACAGCAGGCTGCGGTGCGCGAATGGCCACTTTGGAAAAATGAAACAACAAAAGAACATTGGCCCCATGAGAGAGGGGTTAAAATCTTGGAGCGCTAAAAGGAAACTTGTCTTTGAAAGCGCATTGGATGAAAACGAGCCACCTCCCAAATGTCAGACAAGAGGTGCAAAGGTAAAGTACAATTCTTCAAGCATTGCTCTTGTTTACGCAAAAAGTATAAATCCAGTCTAGATTGCATGTGATGAACTTCTTCATAGGCTGCCATGTTACAAGAAGAGTCTGTTCCACATGGAAGCCGCCTTATTGATCTAGACGTCTTTTGTCAAAATAAACGGAAACGCTTAAACGCAGAGAAAGGGAAGTAGGTAAAACCATTGAAACTGTGGCCAGAGCAAGCTGTCAAGTTTCACTAAGCAATGAGAAGGCACAAATCCTTAAAGATGGCTTCCAGCCAGATGAGGATAATTTGGTTTCAGTTCCTTGCTCATTTGACATGGGCTGGCAAGAGAGGGGCAAAGGCCATAATTCACATACTGGTCATGCAGCAGTAATGAGCCTAACAACTGGTAAAGTTTTGGATTACACTGCAAGAACCAAGACTTGCAGATTCTGTGACCGTAGCAAAAATAGCAACAAAAAAGTTAAAGTACATGATTGTCGCAAAAATCACCATGCTTCATCAAAGGCAATGGAGTCTGCCTCAGCTGTGGAGATGTTTAACAATGCCCCAAGACAAAAAGTGAAGTATGTATTTTACACTGGAGATGAAGACTCCACAACTGAGGCTCGCATTCGACAGAAAGTCTCCTACGGAGTTGAAAACTTAAGTGATATAATACATACAGTATGAAGAGATCCTGAACTACACAATTGTGTAATTTAAGCCAGTATGCAAAATTTGCCGACAGCTCCATCTTGTCGCAAAAGTTAATCAGTTACCCAGTAAAATGTTTTTCATATGGTGTTGTACAGAACAAAGGAAATGCAAAAGAAATCAAGGCAACCATTAACTGCATTGTTCCCGACGCATTTGGTGACCATAAAAACTGTGACAATAAGTGGCGTAAATTCAAGCAAGATCCAGCTTCGTATAAACATCATGACCTTCCTTATGGGAAAGACTTGTTTGGAGACAAATTGAGACTTGCCCTTGAAAACATATTCAGTGATTACTGTACTGATGTAGTGGCTGAAAAATTAGCCCCCGTGACAAATTCACAAAGGAACAAAGCTCTAAATAGTGTGGTTGGTTCGAGAAAACCAAAAATCAGGTTTTATGGGGAAAGTGAAAGCAATGACTTTCGTGTAGCATGCGGAGTTGCGCAAACTAACTTGAGGTATGGATATGTTAGCCAAACCCTTGAAGCACTCAATATTGAGCCTGGAAGATACTGTACAGAATATAATGACAGAGTGACAACCAAAGCCCTTCAAGATAAAATAAACTGTGGTAGTTGACTTTTAATGAGTTCTTTGAACAGAGAAAGAGAATCAGCAAACCAGACAGCAATAAACTGTGGATTTTAAACTCAGAAGGTCTCAACTTAATTCTCAAAAGTGTTCATAGACAGCCAGGAAAGGAGCTCGAGAGGTCAAACCTTATGAAACAGGTATTGGCCTAAATCTTGAGGTGACATCAATCATGTCCTCTACTACTACCGATTGTCAAGCGCATGTAATGGCAATGCCACCTGACCAGTTTAAAGAAATTGAGAACTTTGCCCCGAAGGTTACCCTTAGGCCTGTAGCAAAACACGTGAAATATGACGATAACATATTCTACAACTTCTTAATTTTTGACACGGAAACAAATGCAACTGGTAAATCTGCCGATCTGCCAACTATCAGTAATTGACAAATCAGCTTCACACAAGTTCTCAGTCTACATTATGCTCACACAGAACATCGATTTGTGTGCTTCAAAAGTTAATAAACTAAAAATAGTAAACTTCAACGGAGAGCGTAAACTGTACAATGACGACAAAGTTGTAAGAGCTATTACCTTTCGATACTGCGATTGCTCAATTCAAGAGCTATCTCTCACAATCCATAAACATAGCCAAGAACACCACCAACAAACAAGTCCGTATGGTTCTCATTGGAGACAATGCCTCCGCGTTCGGCGCTCCAATTCTTTTAAGAAATGCTGGAAAGGAATTCTCCTCTGAGCAGCAATCTGTGGATGTCTGGTTTGCTGATTCTCTTTCTCTGTTCAAAGAACTCATTAAAAGTCAACTACCTGCTTTATGGAACGCCGGTGGCACATTTCTGAAGACTAATCAGTCCTCTATCTACAAGACCCCCTTTAATCAAACCTTCGATGCACACGATGCCTTGGAAGATGTTCTTGCCCTAAGAGAGATTCTCTTTTCTTTAAAATTGGAATTGTCAAATAAAACCATCATAGAAAACTGAGCACTCACCAACACAAATCATACATTCGAGGACTTGGTGTATCTCGACGGTCGCCACAAAATATTGCAATCCTTCCAAGCTAAGCTATATAATCCAGAAAGAAACGATGGTGCCATAAAGAAAAGCATAGCAGAAAAAATTGCTGGGAGTGGTTTGGCATATGAAAATTTGAAGAACGTGTATAACCGTTACCGGCAATTTTGTTGAGACCGGCATCATGTGCAACATCACGATCACCACGAGTAACTTACACTGTTCGAATTTTAGCAGTCATCATTGCTCATTTCCAATGTGCTAGCTGTCCATAGGGTAAGATTTCCTTGTTTTAAATTTTCATCTCCAAACTTGTGTCGTAATAATTCCAAAAATGGCTTTTAGGTAGGACAATTTACCTTGCTGTTAGAATTTTCGAACACACCACTGACGGCAGTGGGACATTGATATGCACATGGGCGTGGTCGTCTTGAGTTCTTATGACGTCACAAACAAGCAAACAAAGAAAAACTGCGCTCACTTTTCTTCTGTTTCCTTCCATGAAATTTTGCGAAAGTTTGCATACTTCATGCTATAGAAGCCTACTTTACAATACCATTTTGAAATAAAATTTTATCTGAGGATTTCTTATTTTTAATTAAAAATAGGAACTTGTAAGATTTTTAAGAAGCCATGAGATAAATTTTTCATTTTTCCTTTTTGTGGAATTTAATTCATTTAAATTGTTTAAAAAATTCTATTAGCTCCACGAAGGAAAACTTTTATTTTCTAGAAAGTACTTTTTATGCTCTTTTAAATGAAATACATGTATAGTAGATTATTCCCCTATAAATATTTGCTGAGATATTAATGATGACTTATATGACCTTTTCCATGCCCTTTTTTGATGAGACGAGAGATTTTTAATTATCCGTTGTTGAAGGTTAACTGGAATATCTAAGGTAATAATAATCAGTGCTTGAAACTGGCAGTCGTCCAGTGGTCCAAGATGACTAAAAAACAGTCTGGACAGCCATGTTTTTTGTAAAATTAAAGGCCTGGTTGTCTGAGGAAATTAGCATCGGACAACCCAGGAGAAATTGAAGTATTAACATTACTGTGAAGTCCAACCGAATAACAAAATAGAGGTGTATAAAAGATTTAAATCTGGTGTTTTTGTTCATCATGTTTTCAAACCCAGGCCTCCCCAAAATATTATGGCGTGCAGGTAATCATTCTTTTCTGAGGCATTGTGGGAATGTACCACCAAGTTTTCAAAAGATAAGAAAATTCTGTTAATTAATCAGGGCTGTTGAAGAGTAGCTAGCCAGCTTCAGCAAAAATCGCCAATGCTTAATTATAGGTTTGTGAACTACATGTAGGCTGTTATTTAGAGTACTCAAATAGCGTATCTTTCAAAAACAGTGGACTTTATTTTGGTTACCATTCCTTACTGAATGTTTGACTGCAGGTCTTTGATAGACTTTTCATTGAAACAACATGAGCTCACAGGCTTTTTGCTGCTGTTTCTGTATGTCTCTTACCTGAATATACAAATGCTATACTCTCTGTTTCATAGAAGTACTTTTACTAAGGGTTAAGTTGTTTATGTAAAAGTGTGAACATCCTGCTTGAACGATGTTTCAAGGAAGCCATTTTGTGCCACTTCGCGTCATTTACGTCAAATAAAAGAAACCCTCTGACTACAATTTTTTAGAGAGCTTCAAATCCTTTGGAAATCCGCTGAAACTCTTCACTGTTAATAAGTCAACCTGGCCTTTATTTCAGTATTTTAAGGGCCACCGAGCAGTCATCAGGGCAACAAGAGCCAGGGGTCAGGTTGTCCTACATTTGGAATAAGGACAACTTGGATATTTTTTAATTTCCAGCACTAAAATATCCTCTGCTAAATTTCAGTTTTTCTCAATACTCCACTTACTTCTTTCCTAAAGTATTTTAGTGCCAAATTTTCGTGAAATCCTAGATAACGAGTGGTTCTTGGGAAATATGCATATTTCCGTGAAAGCTATTCCATATTCAATCGTAATTTTTTGACTTATGGTGCATTCGCTAAATTTACTGGGTTCTTTTGGTAACATTTGCGAGAAAAATCTGAGAATTGCTGGGTTCTTTGTGTTCGGTTGTCCTAAGAGGCCTTCAACGTCATCTGGTTTGCATTTGGCGAGCATGGAACCATTTGGGAAGTAACGATGGCTATACAACACAAGAACACTACTATTTGATGGCCAATATCACGACCAAATTGATGATGTGGTTATGTGCTCTCCTTTGGATCCTGTTTTGGCTAATATCTTTATGTGCCATATTGAAGAGAAATGGGCTTTTAACAATAGCGCTCGCCCTTCTATTTGGTTTCGATACATTGATGATACCTTCACCTTGTTCAACAGTAAAAGCACAGCATCTCAGTTTCTACACTACCTCAATAACTGTCACACTAATATAATAAAATTCACTTACCGAAAGAAGACCTTTACCGGCCTGTACACAAAATGGGACTCACACCTAGGAAATACAAAATAAACTTCATCCTTGTGCTCACTTTTTGTTGTTTTTGCATCTGTGAACTTGTCACCTTCTCTTTTGGGCTCTTGTTTGAATGAAATGAGGAAGTTGTTGTTGCAAAACGGTTACCCTGCTGGTGTTACAACATAAATGACATTCTGAACAGGCAACAAAACAGACTGAGCAATCCAATCACCACAGTCCCCAAAAAGGAAATTATCTTAGTTCTACCTTATTTGGGCAAAATTATTATTACCAAACAACTGAAGACCTGCAGTAATAAATTTTATGGCTGTATTAATCTTAGGGTTCTTTTCCAAAACGCTCATGGCATCAAGTATTTTTTTCCCTACAACTTAGATAGGATCAATCGTTCCCAACTGTCAAAAGTTGTATATAAGGCTAGTTGTTGGGACTGCTAGGACTTCTACATTGGAAAAGCAAAAGGTAGATTGTATGACAGTAAAACTGAACTTTTTAAAGTGATCACGAGTAGCTGTCATGCATCTGCTATCGCAGACCACGTCACGTTAACTGGTCACTACTTAAAGTTATTCCCCAGTATTGCATTGCGCATCCCTACTGCGCATAATTTCATGCGTGATTAGCGTGCACACATTAAAAGATGGTGGCTTTTTCTTTAGAGCTGGACCTTGCCATAGAGGTAAATTGTCATTTTCTTGCAAACGAGTATGGTGACCTATCATTTTTTTCTGTTGTTTTGAATTGAGTAATAAATTTCTCTGTGTAAAATAAATATGGACCAATTCTCAGTGTAGATCAAAAAGCAATGGTCGGAAACGTGAATTTAGCAAGCAATCGTGACTACAATCATGGTGCTATTATAAGGATTTATAATTATGGGTATAAACAAGGTGCTTTTGCTCCTAAACAAACTCAGGGACCCCTCATTTTTATTTCAAAATTTAAGTTCCTATAATATAAAAATTCACTTGGCAAAGTTTCACAAAAATCCCAGTGCAGGTTCTATTTCAGTGGAATGACCTTAAAATGGGACCACTTTGAGATACTTAAGAAAAAGGTCGGTCGGATACACATAGCAAGATAAGAGAGACTCTACTAATTAGGGAATTGAAACCTACCCTAAATGATAATGTTAGCAGCGAAAAGCTTTATCTTTATTGGTTTGCATCTCTTTTTGTGCAAATTGTTTCAGCTTCTGTCATTCTTATTGTTAATTAGTTATTTATCTTAAATTTCAAATGTAGTTGTTACTTCCATTCTAAACAGTCACTTCTAAAAATGTATGTTGAAACATATGAAACGTCAAGTTAAATGATATAGTTTTAATTTTGTTTTTCAACAATGCGTTTTATTGTCATGTTTATCACTGTAGTTTGTGTGTTATTTCTTGTCAAGCTACGATGGGCAAAGAAAAAGTGTATTTAGTACCGCTACAGCTAAAACACAATCAGGGTGGCAAAGAAGGGGCCACTTACGTAAAAAAAAATCAGCCTTACAATATCTTTGTTTTTCATGCATGGCTTGCAAGTACAACATCTCTTCATCACTTCACTAAAGTATCTCAGGGCATTCGCATCTCAGTTCGGAGATATGCCTAGTCAATTTCTGGGGGTATGAACTCTAAAAATCTAGAAAATGAATTAGCAAACTATAATATTCTTTGTTACCAAATGTGTCTTTCAGCCCTGCCAACTTCATTCCATGTGAAAAAAACTTGCTTAAAATAAAGTTTTGCCTTGCAAAAAAAGGTAAGAAGCTCAGAGCTCGGTAACCAGGCATAAAAATGGAGGATGATGGGTATCTCTGGTTATTATATACCAGTAAAGTATCCAGTTACTGAAATTACAGAATCTTAATGGAAATGACACAGTAAGATATTTTAAACCTTTTTTGAGATAAAAAAATGCCTGTTTGAGTTTCAAATTGCACTTGAAGGCACAGGGAGTACAGACACTACATTTTGGTTATAGCGTCCATTTTTTTTAGAACAATTAAAAACTAAAAATCCCCATAAATACCATATTTGTATATTACCCAACAGCAACAAAACACATGTAGACTTTACATTTAGTCAATTGGTTCTTGTAAACCACATTACAGGATTTTGGCAACCATTAAAGTCTCAACTTTGAAGTGTTGTAGATGTTTTTTCTTACTTGCATATAACCAAAACATTAAATACCAAGGAGATAGGTTTCAAATCCACTCAGAGAGACATTTCTAGTGATATAATGTTTAATGTTTCCAACAAATCCTCATATTTTGGAGCTAAAGGTTCCAAAATACCATTTTGCATAACATGGTATGGTTAAGCAATTGGGCATCAGGTTCAAATGTATATTGCATCCATCACCAAAACATGTTTCAATTTCACATTTACATATATCAAAGTATCCAAATAATTTACCATCATTTTCAAGCAATGCACCATCAAGTTACAATAAAGGAGCCAAAATTTGAAAATTTTATGAGGTCTTCCATAATGCTAAAATTCTGTCTATTTTTGACCCTTTGACCTTTTATACTTGTGTGACAATCTGTATTACAGATGCTCTCTTGTATTTAAAATGTTTGTCCCTGGACACCTCTTAAGATAAAAGTCAGAAAAGTCAAATGGAGCAAGTCTATTACAGATTTTTTAGCCCATAACATAGACACTGTGAACTTTGCCACCCTGATTGTGTTTTAGCCGACTACCATTTGAGTCGGCTTCAAATGTTTTTGACATTCCATTTATGATTATGCAGCATTTGTATTTCCAAGTGTTCTACTAAGGTGATAGCTTAAGGCAGACTCATCAGCAGCACAAGCCTCTTTTATGAAACACAATGTCAATTTTTCTTCATAATTTAAACTGTCCAGACTGTTTCTCCTAAGAGGAATGGCCTCCACAGTCTACTCCAAGGAAAATTAGATTATGGGAGGAAATGAGTGATTTCCTCCCAACATACAAGAAATAAAGGCCACAATCCAGTTGCGGCTTAGAGGTTGACCTTTATTAATTTGGAGCAGCTGTTTATTTGTCTTAAAAGGGAAATAACTGTACATGCATTCCCGAGGTGTCCTCGTATTGTTGACTGTGACAAGAAAACAGGTCACTCCCAGGAAGTAACAATGTCTGTAGTGGAAGGAGGGATATGAGGTATGGAGGCTTGTGATGTCAAAGCTATTGGTGGATTGTGAGATGGTGATTGTGCTGATGATTGTGTTTTTTGTTGAGAAGATTGACTGCTTGACTGCAATAGGATGGGGTATGTAATGCCAGAACCATGAGGTCTGCGGTGTCCAATAAAACTTATGAAAAATTGTCTGATTACAGACCTTGGATACACACAGTTGGTTACCCAATATACCACTGACTACCATACACAGATTGATCACTTTTATACCAATGAACCCCAACTTGTCCAATCTGCAGGCACAGGAGTCTTGCTATTAGCAGTGATGCGAAGCCTATCTTCATTTGAAGTCTGTGACACAGCTTTCAAGGAAATGACTCATTTCCTTGAAAGCTGAGTGAATATATCATTTTTTCCTAATTAACTTGTGATGCATCATATGATACCTTGTACAATAGTTGCATAAGATACATTCTACATTGTACCAGTAATCAACATTGCAACCATGATGTATTGAGATACTTTTTTGAATCATGGATTTAACACTCACAGGAAACAAATTAAAACATTTTGTTGCCATGACAGGATGTTTCTAGAATTTGTATATCAGATAAACTTTTTCCAGAATTTGTATATCAGATAAAATTTCCAAGTGAACAATACATAGTTTATGTTATGGGGTGAAGGTGGATTTCCTTCCCTTAAGCCTTTCCTATACTGAACAATTAGGTAAGTTACTAACCAACATTGGCAACTTGCCAGAAAACAACTCATCACCAAAACTGATTGAAATAATGTGCCAAGTGCAAATAAATGCAACCTTCCCTACAAACATATCAAGAAATGCAAAACTGCTAAAAATTGGTTTTAAACACTTCAACTTAAGTCACCTCTTGGAAAAAAAACACAAAGAAAAAAAAAATAACCGAAAGTAAAAATGTTGTTGTGGGAAAGCTGGAAGTAGAGGAAAACTTGCCAAAAAATATATATTTCCAACAAATACAAATACGTTACAACAGTTTAAATATTGTAAAACCCCTTTCCTATACTTTGTTTACAACTTTTCATGCATCTTCGGCCCCGGGGGTGGGGGACTCCCATATAAAAGGACTGGGTGCTCGTCGTACCTTTTGGGGTCAAAAAAATGGTTTTGGTACCTCTTAGGGTGCTCAGCCTCAACACGTCCACAGTGGAAGCTTTTGTGATACTTTTCATATATTGAGCCAAGAAATATATGACAGGAGATATCTGATTATTAACTTTGCGAGTAGAAGGTATTTGAAGCAATAATTGCTTCTATTTCCCTCTACTTGTAAAGAAGACAATTATTGTCTTTAACACTTAAAAACTATGAATGTGTCGGTTAATTTGTTGTTTTAGAACTGGTCACCTCTTAAAGATGAAAAATATTTGAAGCCAAGCCCTCAAAATAGGATCTCTACCTGGGCTTCTTTTCAAAATTGCTGACGATCACCCCTGTTCTTTTTATATGGAAGTCAACCTCTTGGATGAATTCATTTTCACAGAGTTTACTCTCACCAACACACACAGTAAAAACAAATGGTCATTGTTGAGCTCACAGTTACAATTGAATTTTCGCCTATATCACCACGACTTGCCTCACAGAGCTCTTAGATTTTTTTATTGCGTGACACTGAAAACGATCTATATGTATTGTATGTATACCTTCTAATTTACATTTTACTTGTAGCACGATGGCATGTTCTAAACTTCGAAGCAAAACGCCAAGCACCCGAAACTTATTCGTACAGACTTTGCGATTCCTCTGATTCAGTATCATTTCAATCCATGAAATAAAGCTTCAATACAGAGCGGCGTCAACGTTCCTGAAATGGAGTTCTAAACTGCGCGACAATCTATTTCACGAAACCCTTTTGATAAAGGGTTGTAAATACCGAAGTCCCCAAAAACTGTATGCAACCTCACATAGAAAAATCTGGGATCACAGCAAGCGAGAGTAAACAAACGGGTATAAATCACAAAAACTAAAAGTCAGTAAGGGTCAAATCGGGCCAGTTCGAATTTTATTCGTAAAAGTAATCGAAGTGAAAATGTATTCCTTCCACTTTATCTAGCGTTATGCTTGCATTACATTTGTTTGGTTTTACAGTGGATTTCTTGGCACTAAACAAGTGACACAAGGTAGTCCTTTGATTAGATATACAGCTTGATATTGTGATGTTAAGAGCGTTTATTCTCAAAAATATGTAACTTCTAGGAATTTCTCAGGACACGATTTTAACACATCCAACATTTTCGGGCAAGGCAGTACCTGGGAATTTTAACATTGTAAATTAAGTTAATACAACTTACCTTATTTGAAAAATTCTGTGCACGGCAGAAAAATCTAGGTTGTAGGAAAAACTCCTTGCATTACTCCTCGTATGTTGAAGCGACTGTAGTCGCATGAGGAATGAGTCGCGTCAAATAACGCAGTTTCATTCGAGGGTTTTTTCCCTAAATTGGCGAGTTTCAGTTTCGATCCAGAGAGAACAACAGATACTTAATCTGAACCCCTCAAAATATGTGCTTGCCGAAGCAACTTTGACTTCGATTAGTCAAGGCCCACGGACCTGTTATCAAGCGAATGAAAAGGTATTGTTAACATGTATTATATTTTCAGTATTTTTTTCGGACATTTTCCACAGAAACCATGTTATTTTAAACAAGGGTTAGACTTGCGAACTATGCAGCTTTTC